CCGTCTCATATTTTAAAAAAATGAACTGATCCGATGGGCCAAGCCCATTTTGACAGGTCTAGTTCCTACTAGTTTCCTTAATTTAAAAATCCATCTCTTCCTCTCGAACTGTTGAATCGAAATGCCTTGATACCTGATGCATCAAATATGTTCATTTAAGGATATGTTCAATTTTCCAAATTGATTCACCGCTATCTTTAGTAATTTGAGAATGGTTTCATGCTTGTTACCGATGCTGCTCAGTGCCCACAGCATTGGATCCATCGCCAACGATTACTTTGCTTTGTTCCTACCCCTTGCTAACAGGGTACAGAAAGCTGGTCCACTGAATATTAAACTTGAGAGAACTACATTTTGAAGTTGAGAATTCTCAGTCCTTTGCCAAGTGAGGCCTTATGATTGTACGTAGGAGATCAGCTAATCAGAAGTAAACTTTCTTTTTTAGGAGTAAATTTATGATTTCATCTCTTAATGGGAGAGCCATGTGATGTGAACATCCATGGGCAATCATCTTTTGGATTTTGTCCCCGCTCATATCTGCATCCTGTATCTTATTTCAAAGTAATCTCGATATATCCAACTTATGGTATAATTTTTTGGATTTTATTGCCTAAATTATTACTTTCGAGATCCCACATTTCTCTCTCTCTCTCTCTCTCACCCAGCATTTCATGTTTTTTAGTAATACTCTATTTTTAGCCAGACCTTGCGTTAAAGTAAAGCCTTTCTATACAATTATCCAGTCAATTCTTAAGAAGGGTCAAACATCGTTAAGACAGTGAGCTGGTGAAAAACTGGCATGTCCTCATCTGAGAATGAATGTGAAAAATAAACTACAGCGCCAATCACAACAAGGCGGTGGTATCACGACGGGGAGATTTGACTTTGTGAGTATTTTGTCCTCTTTCACTACAAGCTCAAATCATAGCGACCGCCAGCAGACCTTATACTATGTCCGGGGTGGGAGGGAAGTGAGAGTGAGGAGAGGGAAAGGAGAAGATACTTGTTATAGTTTATCTGAATTGATTTGATTTATTCTTCTTCTTCTTACAAAAAGTATTCTTACAATGTTTAGTTGACAGAAATAAGTGAAAGCGAATAGAAACCTACTAGCTTATGATTTGATACGTACAACTATGTTGGGGTCCTGACTCCTGGCTGATAAGTTTTCTCTTCTGTTTTCATCCTTTTCTTGCATATTATTTTCCCATAATCCTTTTCCCCTCGAAAACATGAAGGCATCAGTTAATTATACGTATAGAGTCACTTGCAGTTAATTCAGACGATAATGATGCAAAGAGATCTGAATAGAAATTATAACAAAAACAAAAATGATGCCACAGGCATTGGCCAAAACTTTCCAGCTTTTGAGAATTATGCTCAGAGGCCAGAGCAGCCGTGGATATATATATATATACCTGAAGCTTGTCTAAACTGGGGCCAGAATTTAAATAAAACTCACCCCCCCATGCCCCGATGGCCTCGGTGCGATTTTACTCACAGAGTCCGAGCGATGGTCCAGAAGGATGCAGAGAAGGCTTTGCATGCATTAGGTAACCATCTGTATCATCAGTTTTGAGGAAGAAAAAGTGTTATTCAACTGGCTATAAAACACATTATTAATGTATAACCCCTTTTTCAATCCGACGTTTCCTTGAAGCCAGGGATGAAAGCATCCAGTTGATGTATTAAATTCCAGGGCATCCAGGCTAATGAAAATCTGCTAGATCAGATCAATTTTTTGTGTCTCTTTTATCAGAAGTCAAATGCACTGAGTATTAGAAAATGACTTTGATGATTAACCCTATGGGAACATTTGAATTGTTTTTCCTGCCAATCATTGTCATGTCACAAACAAGTCGACTTGTGAAATGGACGTTTTCAATATTTTCTGTTTGGTTGAAATTTGCAAGATTCAGCAAATGTTTCCTCCTGACGTTTTCCCATTGCTTATCCTTTGATCTTTGACGTTGGACGTGAGAAACAGACCCGCCAGCAGGCGTCTCTGCTTGTTACTTCGGCTAGAAACACAATCTCTCTTAGGCATTTAATTAGTGAATTTCATGTTTTTTCCATGGCTTGATTGAGAACTTGTTTTGGTTTTGGAGGCGGGGGATTTGGACCCAATGCTGTCGGTTAAGTAATGCAGCAACTTTGCAGTTAAGCAAAGGGATTTCCTCAAAACTGAAACGTGTGCGCTATTGCTTGTGTCCGTGTGAAACTATAAAGAAAGGAATCACTCTATTTCGCTCAAGTACCATCTTGGGTAGGATCAAACATAGAGAGGTAATTCATAAGTTATATAGTTTTCTTCAAAAGCGGTGTACTTGTAAGTTAAATTACATTGTAATTCTTCCCATATTCGTGCCAAATACATGACAAAAAATGGAACCATGTGTTTCACCTAGACAAATGGTGTCGGTTGGGTTTTCTTACCTGCATAGTGTGTCATTCATGATGAACACATGAATCAAATGAGCAATGCCAATGACTCACTTCTTGTCTAGAAATTAATGTCACACGTTATTGTTGTGGCTCAATTAAAAACAGATTCAATTATATTAAAAGTCTTATTTAACTTGATAATAACTATACTTAACTACCCATTGCACACTTTTTTTTTTTTTTGCTTTTAAAACATTATATAAAATTAAAATCTCAAAAAATATGTTTTGAAAAATTTAAATTTCAAAATTTTATTCTTAAATTTATTAAAATTAATGATCAAAACTGAGTTTATTTGACTAAAAAAATTAATAAGGTACAAATAAAATGAGACAGAAGACGTATTTTTTTTAAATTATTATTATTATGTTGTGATAATGAATTAGTGTGATAGTAACTCCCTTCACAAATTAAATTAGTATATTTTATTATAAATTACTCGAAAAGAAGCAAAAATAAAACTTGGAAAAAATTGTTTAATGTTCATTTTCAAATGGCAATGAATTTTTTTAGGGCTATTTTCGTAAATTTAGCTCAAAATTCCCAATGTGTATAGCATTAAGAATAAGAAAAGAAATTATTACATTAACCAAAAAAAGGTATTGAGTTTGTTAAATGAACAAGATCTTGATCCCCTGAAGAGGAGGAAGAGGATCCGAAGTCCAAGTGCACAGATAAAAAAAAGGGCATTCTAAATTCGTAAGATTACTAAACAATTTTACACGTGGCAGCATAGACTTTCTGTACACCCCCCGAGCAGTTCCCCGCAGCTAAATTCCAAAAACAAAACTTGGAGAAATCGCAAAGCTGTAACAAACAACAGCATAATCACTCTCGTCTTCCCTACTAAGCAACCATTTTCAAGTTTCCTTAGTTTGATTCCTTTAAGAATCGTACCCTCCCACCACCTCCCTCTCTTTATCTTTACGTACAAAATATCAGAAGAAGCTGAGAGAAATCTCTACTTTCATCGGAAAGGTATAGTTTTTCCTCTCTTTTCTTTTTTTTTTTTTTCAAAAATTTTGGATATTGTTTAATCATGTAGAAATTCTTGAATCTTGTACTAGAAAGTGATTATGAGTTCCAGTTTTATAATGGGATTCCGTCAAATGTTGTTTTAATGTGGCTTATGGAAGGTGTTCTTGATCGTTGACTTGCTTCTAATCGACTGTTACTTTTAATGTGGATTGTTATTGTTAAGCTGAATTAGATAATTTAGTTATTTGGGGTTTTGATTCGTTGGTTGAAATGATGGCGTCAATGATCAACAAGTTTTCACTACCGTTGGATATGTCAAGATGGTTATTCTTTTTGCTTTTCTGCTTTGCTTCAGTTTTAGGATTGATGTTAGTTTTTGATGTAAGGACAAGCTTTTGTATTTAGAATTATATGGAAAGGGGGAACATAATCATGGATTAAAAGCAGTTTTGGATTGCGCAAATTATTGTTATATCTTTATTCATTTCTGGTGTTTTAAGTTTGATTAGTGGACCTTTGGTGGTTTTATGCATGTGGTTATACTAACCTCCAATAATGCTTGTTTTTCCATAAAAAATGTTTTGACATGTTATTTGTTTTTATGAAGGAAAATAAGAAGAATGTACTAAGTGCTGATTGGTGTACTTGGTGGGTTCACGATGGAAGTACTTGCTTCTGTTGGCTGTTATTTTCAAAGTCCTTTGAGAACTATTTGGTTATGGATATCCCTGTTACTTGTGCTGCAATCTAGTAAAACAGTACTCTCAGATTCCAACTATTTGATTGGGCTTGGAAGCTATGACATTACTGGACCTGCTGCTGATGTTAATATGATGGGATATGCTAACACAGAACAAATTGCTTCGGGGATTCACTTCAGGCTGCAAGCTCGCTCATTTATTGTGGCAGAGCCGCAGGGGAAACGAGTAGTATTTGTTAATCTTGATGCTTGTATGGCTTCGCAGTTGGTGACAATTAAAGTGCTTGAGAGATTGAAAGCAAGGTACTTATTATCACAGCATTTATGCCTGAAGAACTGCCTTCTGTTTTTAACATATAAAGTTTCATCCCACTGAAGTTTATTGAAAGTCTCTATGAAATAAATCACATGCATAAGAATAGCAGAACTTATTTGGGTGCAAAACTCATTTAGCATGATCTTTTGAAATTATAATTAGTATTCTTGTCTGACCTTTTTCCTTTTAAAAAAAATTTTAAATTCAACATAGAGTAAGACTGAATCAAAGACACAAAAGCCTTTGAAATAGACGCATTTGGACACTTGTTAATATGGGTTCTAGTTTGATTCGCATAGTATTTTAACTTTTGACTTGTCTACCCATATATAACTCCTCCTTATTCTTGCAGATATGGGGACGTATATACTGAACAGAATGTTGCTATTAGTGGTATTCATACCCACGCGGGTCCTGGGGGTTATCTCCAATATGTGGTGTATCTTGTGACATCTCTTGGATTTGTTCGTCAGTCATTTGATGTCCTGGTAGATGGCATTGAGAAAAGTATTGTACAAGCTCATGAAAATCTCCGACCTGGATCAATTTTTGTTAATAAGGGTAAGAGCAGGAAACATGCAGTTGCAATATTCTTTTCCTATTTTAGATGTTATCTTCTCTTTTTGAGCAGAAATAATATTTAGGGGAATCTTCCTTGATTCTGGAGATCTCTGCTCTCAAATCTAAAGGTTTTTTGAAATTATTCACATACTTGATTTGTTACTTATTTGATATTATCTTGCTATGCATACTCTGTTTCGTAATATCGGAGGTGTATATTTTTGCTCAAAGATGCTGGGTTTTCAACAGGAGAGCTATTAGATGCTGGTGTAAACCGTAGTCCTAGTGCCTATCTCAATAACCCTGCATCAGAGCGCGGCAAATATAAGTATGATGTTGATAAAGAAATGACCCTTTTGAAGTTTGTAGACAACCAGTGGGGTCCAGTGGGTAGCTTCAACTGGTTTGCAACTCATGGAACATCAATGAGTCGTACAAACTCACTGATCAGTGGAGATAACAAAGGTGCAGCAGCACGATTTATGGAAGACTGGTTTGAGCAGAATGGTATTAAAAGTTCATATATTAATGATTTGGAGACTGATGGAATACCTCGAAGAGTCTCAAACATTATCCCAAACCTTCATAATAATCGTAAGTTCTTAGCTTTCAACTTTAATCTTTGTGCATTAATTTGAAAAATATGTACAAAGAGCAATTACAAAAGTAGCGTCACTTACTAGATATTCTTATTAGTCTGTAACAGAAATTAGTCATCAGATCCATATTATGTAGCTCCAACTCCTTGATGGGCTGGATCCATGCAATATTTCTTTTAATACTATCTTTTTGATGTAGACCATGAGTTGCTGGAGCTTGCTGCATCATTCCAGTCGTCTCCTGGTAGGCCTGCAACCAGGACTCTGAGTGTTGCTAGACGTGTCAGGGGTGCTCTTAGACAGGCTGATAAGCCTGGATTTGTCTCTGCATTCTGCCAAACAAATTGTGGTGATGTTAGTCCCAATGTACTTGGAGCGTTTTGCATAGACACTGGCCTTCCTTGTGACTTCAATCACAGCACCTGTGGTGGAAAGAATGAACTGTGCTATGGCCGAGGACCTGGGTACTATTCCTCTTCCTGCTATGCACTTTTTTCTTAATCAGTACATACATATTGTGTCAGAAGAATAAAATGCATTTGTTGCTCCACTTGGCAGCTATCCTGATGAATTTGAAAGTACACGTATTATTGGAGAGAGGCAATTCAGAAAAGCTGTGGATCTGTTCAACAAAGCATCTGAGCAGTTAAAAGGAAAGGTTGACTACCGCCACACTTACCTAGACTTTTCCCAGCTTGAGGTAACAGTTCCTAAACAGGGAGGAGGTTCTGAGGTGGTTAAAACATGTCCTGCTGCAATGGGATTTGCATTTGCTGCAGGAACAACTGATGGACCTGGGGCATTTGATTTTAAGCAAGGAGATGACAAGGTGATCTAACATTTCACTCATCATATGTGCCAATATTTTTTGTGCCTTATGCTTGCGTTTTTTGTGTGATTAATGTTGTTGTGATGTTATATCAGGGTAATCCATTCTGGAGGCTTGTGCGCAACTTACTTAAAACTCCAGATAAGAAACAAGTTGATTGTCAGCATCCAAAGCCCATCTTGCTAGATACTGGTGAAATGAAGCAACCATATGATTGGGCGGTAAGTTGCAAGTATATCTTAGGAGACATACAAGCCCTACTGAATCTTCATAAAGTGAGACTTAAGGACCCTTCCAGCATGTCGGGGTGGATAGGAAAGAGTCGTACCATAACATGAGTTTTACCTTAGATGCCTGATAAAGGATTTCAATTATTTGACTCATGGACTCCTTTGATGACTGATTATCTTCTGTTATGTCTAAGTGGTCTTAATATTCTCAAAAAGCAAAATGCTTGCAGATTTTTTTTCCATTACAACATAAGTTCACTGATGAAACATTTGCTTGTTCATGATCTTTACAGCCTTCAATACTTCCAATCCAGATCCTTCGGATAGGGCAGCTAGTCATTCTCAGTGTACCTGGGGGTAATAGCTTTTCTCCCTTTTTATCTTCAGTTTGAATTTAACGTCACTATTTATGGCTCCATCTTTCATTTCTTAATCATCACGTCTTGCACTACCGTGTGTTGAGGTTTCCTTCTGAGGCACCACGTGTGTTTGTAACAATAAGAATGGATTCTCACTATTTTTGTTTCAAGCAGAATTTACAACAATGTCTGGGAGGCGTCTTCGTGATGCTGTGAAGACGGTGCTTACTGGCAGTGGAAATGGAGAATTTGGTAGTAACATTCATGTTGTTATAGCTGGGTTGACTAATACATATTCACAGTATGTTACAACCTTTGAGGAGTATGAGGTGCAGAGATACGAGGTCAGTGCCAAATGTACAATACTTGTGGGGATAATTACCCAAACATCGCTACTTATTTGCTATAAAAATTGACCTAAGTGATAAAGATTAGTTTCGCAATATTTTTTATTCAGAGTTTTCTCATTCTCAGGAAGTTTGTTGATTAACCAGAATAGACTCCTGGCTGGTTTCCTTGCTGGAGAGCTTTAGACCTTGAACTTACTATAGCTTGATTGTCCCTGATATGGCTTGCGTCACACATAAAATTGGCATTTTATCATGATATATTGTGTTTATTAAGTGCTTTCTCTTTGCTCTCTGCAAGTTAGTTCCTCAACATAATAGCTTAGTGGTCAGTTTCCTTGCTTGAATCAAGAGTTTTAGGGCTTGAACTTACCATAGCTCGGTTTCCACAAGCAAGCCACACATAAATTGGCATTGAATTCACATTCTGTTATGGCTCTTTGGTCATGCATGCACATGCACATAAAGAACAATGGTGAACATTTGGAATGGTGTTATTTCATTTCAGTTTAGAATTTGTTATATAATAATTATTATTTGTCTAGTATTTTTAGAAGTTCTTTATTTTTTTTTCTTAGGGTGCCTCCACACTGTATGGTCCACACACCCTTAGTGCCTACATTCAGGAGTTCCAGAAGCTTGCTAGTGCTCTTATCAAAGGTCAACCTGTTGAACCTGGCCCACAACCTCCAGATCTTCTAAACAAGCAAATAAGCTTACTCACTCCTGTTGTTATGGACTCTACTCCTGCTGGTACAAACTTTGGGGATGTCAGCTCCGATGTTCCTGCTAACTCAACCTTCAAGATAGGTAACACGGTGACTGTTGTCTTCTGGTCTGCTTGCCCGAGGAATGACCTCATGACAGAGGGTACATTCTCCCTTGTTGAGATACTCCAAGGGAAGGATACATGGGTCCCAAAGATATGCGACGATGATTTCTGCCTTCGCTTTAAGTGGTCAACCTTCGAAGCAGTCCCCGAAGTCAAGCAACGATAGAATGGACAATCCCACCTCTGCGTCGCTAGGAGTATACAGAATCAGACATTTGGGGCTGCGAAAGCGCTTAGGTCAATTCGGCATTTCACTGGATCATCTAGTGCTTTCGTGGTAGCATGAGAAAAAGCAGAAGCTGTCTGTAATGAGTTGCATTAGGTTGTAACTTTTACAGGGACAAATCCACGAAATGTACCTATAATGCTGAATTCATGTGGCTCATTTGATTTCCAGTGCAAAAGATGAAAATTCCGACAAATCACATTCTCTATTATCATAGGGTCCGATACTGAATTGAACTGTTAACAACAAGACGATATCACTTCACTTCCTCCGGCATAAGATTTTAGGCTGAGTTCAGCTTCAGCTCAAGACTGTTTTTACTGAGCCTTTACACCACTTTCAGTTTCTCACTTGATCTAGAGGGGACTTCTATGGCCGGTCTGTTTCTGGTAACCTTAATATAAGATCTTCAGGTAATGGCCGTCACTTGTAATTTCCGGTATAAACCATTGATGGGCAAGGAAAACAATATATATATAGTTTTCGTTCTTTCCATTAAAAAGAAAAAGAAAAAGAACATAATATGGCAAATGAAGTTCTCTCCTCTTGGTTGATGTCAATGTGACATAATTGAAGTGTTTCAATTTCACATTAAGTAGGTAAGAGATTTTGTGGGTGTTGTATAGTTTTTATTTTTTTATTTTTGAAAAGAGAGCAATAATCACGTGATAAAATAATTTCAAAATAAATTTAACTTAAACTCTAATTTTGTCAAAAATTTTTAAAGTAAAAGCAGATAGATCAACGGACAGCAATAAAGGCATCGTCGGATTAGATGAAGGAAAATGTCACTTCAGTGTTTTAAGAAAAAAAATGCAAAGTGCTTCAGCCTCGTGTCGGATAAGTTTAAAATGCTTATAAATATATATGGGTTGCACACTCCGTCAAATTAATATTTTGGAAAAAGAGGGTAATAGTTTGTGACACCAGCAAAATACAAACCGGAATTGAGGGTTTTAGCTTAAGAAGCTATTGGGCCCGATTTTGCCCAAAGCTTGAAATATAAAATCAATGGGCTGCGTTCCCATCGAACTACCTAATGGGCTAATACCTCCACGTTTGAAACACAGCCCCTCCCCCACAAAAAAACAAAAAGCATTCCCCGGAAACTGGAATTAATCAATCGAAGAGGAGGAAAATGGAGAGACTGTGAAAAGTGAGGAAAGTCTAGAAGTTTGAAATATTAAATGAGAAGATACTGAGGAAAGCTTCTGATTGTTTATAAATCAACTTGAGCTTAGCTCTCAAACTGTGAAGATTTGGGGTAAAAAAGAGCCATCTTCCTCAGATCTTTACCACTTCACACCAATTTCGCCGCCGAAAGTAGAGTCAAAAAATGTCGGTGCAAGAGTACCTCGACAAGCACATGCTCTCTCGCAAAATCGAAGACGCCGTCAATGCCGCCGTCCGAGCTAAAACTCCCGATCCCGTCCTGTTTATCGTAAAACTCTCTCTCTCTCTCTGTGAATCGAACTTAATTTTGTTTCGCTTTTTGTTTTGATGATGACTTTTTTTTTTCTTATAAATGAAATTGCAGTCTAATCATTTGAAAAAAGCGGTTCCTTCAGTGATAACGAAGGTAAAAGCTCGGCAGATTCTTGATAGCAGAGGAATTCCTACTGTTGAAGTTGATTTGTTCACTAACAAGGGAATGTTCCGTGCTTCCGTGCCTAGTGGCGACTCCACTGGAATGTAACCTTCTTTGCTCTTTTTCTTTCCATTTTCTGACTTTTGTGCCTGGTTTGATTGCTGAGGAAAAACCGTTGGTAATGAAATGGAAATCAGAAACTTTTGAATTTTACATTTTAGGCTTGCATTTATTATACATGAATCGAAATTTTACTTTGTGTTTAAATTTGAATTGATATTATTCAGTTTTGCAGATAATAATCAATGGGAAACAATGGAAAGATTATTCAGTTTGTTTTGGAATTTAGTAATTACCTGAACTGAGCAATTTAATTTTGATTCACATGGTAGTGCATAGTTATAGATAGGATCATTTTACTAGTTATTATTTCCAATTTGGAAGGTTTTTATTATGTTTAAACTCTTATTTCTCATTATCGGAAATTTTTTTTGCTCTTGAACTGGAATACCATGATAACATTTAATTTTGACAATTTTATTGCAGGTATGAGGCTGTTGAACTGAGAGATGGGGACAAGGGAACATATCTTGGAAATGCTGTGACAAAAGCTGTTAAGAACATCAATGCGAAAATATCTGAAGCGTTGGTTGGTATGGATCCAACAGTTCAGCTTCAAATTGATCAGGCCATGATAGACTTGGACAAGACAGAAAAGAAGGTACATTTTTCTTTTCTTTTCTCAAAATTCAAGTGCAGTTAGTTGTTCACTTTAGATATTTATTAAAACCCGAAGCATTTTAATAGTAGGACGTAGAGATTGTTTTAAATGCCTCTTGCCCAGCATCTGGACAAGGTGGAGTGGAGACAAGAAGACAACTTCCTTAATTTGGATTGTTAAACGAGGGGAAAATGAAGAGAATAGGAAGAAATTATTATGCTAATCTCTTCCTTACCACCTTTTAGATCTCTTGATTGTTCAGTTTTATGTTGGATGATTCACATTGTAACTATAGTTCACAGAACTTGTTGCATTATGGTCCTTTGTCTAAATATATTTATCCCAGAGTGAGCTTGGAGCAAATGCTCTATTAGCTGTGTCAATCGCTGCATGCAAAGCTGGGGCTGCTGAAAAGGAGGTATGATTTCTTGTCAATTTTTTTTTGAAGTTTCCCATTTATATGCTAGAAATTTTGTAGCTCTTTTCAAAAATTTTTAACCAAAATTAAAATCAGGTTCCACTTTACAAACACATAGCCGATCTTTCTGGTAAACCCAGCTCAATCCTTCCTGTCCCTGCCTTCACAGTTATCAGGGGTGGAAAACATTCTGGGAATAGTATGCCCATTCAGGTAAAGAATGATCTTCTTTAGTGTTAATTCAATCCAAAGCATCTTGGAGCTCTCACAATCTAAACATTTTTTATGAATTTGATTCCGGATTTTATCCCCATCCTCTGCTTCTTATACAATGCACATAACTGTCTGCATGATGGTTTAGATTCTTCTATCCTAAAACTTCCCCATATCTGTATGACGTGATTATTCTTATGCTGCGATCAGGATATCATGATTCTCCCAACAGGAGCCAGCAGATTTGACGAAGCCTTACAAATGGGCTCTGAGACCTATCATCACTTGAAGGTGATCTTGTTAAACCAAATTGTTTAGTCTTTGGGATTTACTTTTAAGTTACTTGCTTGTTACACACCTCTTAAATGGCTCATCTGCTGGGAAGTAAAGTTTGGTTCATCTGTTAGAAAGGAAGTAAAGTTTGCCATGTGAGAAGTCATGAGTCTTACAACAGTTTTGGGAATTTATTTTGCTAAATTGCTTATGAAAAATTAACTTTCATGAAAATTCTATGTGATTTAGTCTTCATTTCTAGGTCTGGCCTGCTATGTTTGTGCTGATCACCATTTGATCTTATGGCTGTCCTTGTATTGTAATGAGTTGATATGCTGTTTACTTATGATTTGATTGTTTGAGGTATTTTCCAATAAACACCTGCATAATTCTCTCTTGAACATTCCCATCTGCCAGTTTCTTGAGATTGTTATATTAAAGGAATGCCTCATCTATTTTGAGGTATGCAATGCTGCTCTGTTGTTGAGGTACAGCATACAACTTTAGGAGATTTAGTAAGTTTCTTAGATGAAAGATGAATATATTTGGGTAAGTAATTTGGACCTGCCTATAATGTTGTTATTAACAACTAGGCTTTTGACTGTGACGTTGCCTATGTTAAGGTTTCTGGCTTGCTGCTTGGTTTATACCTAAAATTTTCTGAAGTTCCTGATTGATAATTGATCTCATTATATACGCGAAAATAAGCAGACACCTGTGTTTTTTTAAGAAATAAAGACTAAGTTTTAGTGGTATTAAGTTGCTTGAAATGATTTTAATTGTTCATTTAGAGGTAGACATAAACAATGGAAATACCATTCAGCCTAATTATCTGTAGAAACCTTAAATTGGTCAACCTTAATATTTTTGTGGTATACTTTATTGCTAGCAGTTTGGAATAGAAGATGTCTTGCATATACTCATTCATTTATTGTAATTTTTGTTAATAAGAAAAACAGGCTGTTATTGCAGAAAAATATGGTGCAAATGAATGTAATGTTGGTGAAGATGGTGGTTTTTCTCCTAACATCTCCAGGCAAGTATTACTATTAAGTCTGACTGTCATTGTTTTTCACAATAAGGGGGAATGAGGTTTACCTTACATTTTCTTAGGGATCTAGCTGGAATTTTGGTTTGATTTTCTCCTATTTTTGCTGGCAGTGTTAGAGAAGGATTGGATATTGTCAAAGAAGCTATCGGCAGAACGGGGTATAATGACAGAATAAAGATAGGAATTGATGTTGCTGCTACTGATTTTTGCATAGGTGATGCATATTTTCCTATAAATCAGTCAATTATCATTTGGTAGCATGTGAGATAGGGGACATTGTTGCAGGAGAAACTTCTACACTCTGTTCATTAAGAGATGTTGGCATCATCATGCAACTATTGCATTACATTCTATAGAAGGATATAAGATATTAAACTGAATGTATGATTTAGGTGTGCTGTATCGTGTAGTTAAAGGGCGGAACAAAAGCTTATTTTGCCTAAGTCAGATTGCATGTATCTTCCACTTTCATATCTAATTTTGGATATGGCTTGCTTATAACAACTGAGAGTTTCTTTTCTTTCTACTTCATATAGGTACAAAGTATGATTTAGAATTCAAATCTCCAAATAAATCCGGGCAAAATTTCAAGTCAGGAGAGGATATGATTCAGATGTACAGAGAACTTTGCTTCGGTATGTTAGTTTTTCTGTACAGCTTATGTTTAATTTTTCTTCTTTGTTCTTTCAACAATAGTTTAATGCTGTTCCATACCTTTTCCTTCTTTTCTGGTGTTTTAGAGTACCCAATTGCATCTATTGAAGATCCCTTTGACAAGGAAGATTGGGAACACAGCAAGCATTTTTGCAGTCTTGGACTATGTCAGGTTTGTTTTTTGTTAACATAGTGTTGATGTTTAGTTCTGTTGAATGCCATTTTCATCCTACTTATCATGCATAAAACAAAAAGGGCATGGATGTAGATTTAATACTCCCGCCTTTTGGAGGTAGATGGAAGATAACCAACTAGAATAATACTTTATCTTTTGAGTTGCCTTCTAAATGATTAAATTATTTGACTTCAAATTCAGTTGGGTTTTTATCTTCAAATCTTGTTTGACATAATCATTTAATTGTTGGCTTTTGGTACACCTACACATAAATGGGATCCAACTTGCATGAGAATGTCCATTGATGGATGTATTGGGTACTTTACCAATTTGTTCGGATCTCATGTTTCTGCTCAATATTGACCAGTTGTAACTTAAGATGAGATGGTTTTGCAGGTGGTAGGAGATGACTTGTTAATGTCAAATCCAAAGCGCATGGAGAGAGCAATACATGAATCTGCTTGCAACTCTCTTCTTCTCAAGGTATCTGTAGAACATTGGATGAAACACAAGTACTTCTCTGTGCTGATAATGATGTCGAATTAGCTAAATTACCTCTTGTTAACCTTATTCCACCTATGTTATCTATGTAAAATGTAACAAAAAACTATCAATATGATCTGAAGCTGGAATAAAATACTCCAAAAGTATGTGTTGAAACTTTTTGTTTTTAATTCGTTATTAGAACTTCAAGATCTAATAGTTCTATGTTCCCGGATCAGATAAATCAGATTGGAACAGTGACAGAAGCTATTGAAGTGGTAAAGCTGGCAAAGGAAGCCCACTGGGGAGTGGTGGTGTCTCATAGATGTGGGGAAACTGATGATTCCTTCATAGCAGATTTAGCAGTTGCCCTTGGTGCAGGTCAGATCAAAGCAGGTGCTCCTTGCAGAGGAGAGCGGTTGGCCAAGTACAATCAGGTTTGTTTTTCCATTTGTAAACTGCTACTTTTTCTATTCTATGCTTTTTGTGCAACTCCATAAATGAGATTAATGGGGGAAAAAAAAAATATCTATTTGCAGTTGCTTCGAATCGAAGAAGAGCTCGGAGATCAAGCAGTTTATGCTGGCGAAGACTGGCGACCGTCATGTTGATTGTCCTTATAGGGTTTATACTGGCATCTTCTTCTTTTCTTTGACGTTTGAGCCTTTGAAATAGTTTAGCCAATGTATTTAAACAATTTGTTGATTGTCAATTTTTTTTTTGGAAAGTGCAAAATTAATTAATTAAACGTGGAATATATCGTTTTTGAAGGGAAGTAAACGTGGAATTATATATAGATAATGCCTAATCTTATTGAGTCCCTTTAGTTGTTAAAGCACTGGAATATTAATAATTTTGTTAGCTTTCCAATTCCCCCACCCTGACCGACAGAAACTATGAAGAATTTATAGTGATACTGAGGCAAAAGAACACATCATGCTCATGCATGAAGGAGATTAAGAGAGAGAGGGGAGGGGAGGTTTGGGGCGCTAAAACTTTTTTAAGTGCAATTAAAAAACACAACTTCTCCTGTTAAAAGAGAAATGCCAGGCCCAGATGCATTACTATAATTAATTAACTAATTAAGTAGCATTATATATATATATATATATATATGTATTGTATAGTGTGTGCTTGTCTGTTCTGGAAATTGATCAAAGCTTAAATTCCCTGCATCAAACTAACATTCTCTTTCCTGCCTTTCAAAAAAAAAATTTGTTTCCTGAGAAAAGTTATATGGTAAGTAATATAACTCAAAAATTCCATGTAAACTATGATATAACTGCTTATCTGCCAATCATGCACCAAACATTCCCTCCTAAGATCATTAGTCAATTTTTGCGATTTTCAAATGAAAGGTTTTCATTCATCTTTTTTCCATTAAATAAATAATTGATAAAAGCATATATTTAAATTTGCAAAAAATAAGGAAAAAAAAAGATAATGTAACAAAAAATTGAACAAGAAGAACTCTTCTCCTACTTTACCTCCTCAAAAACTTCAAAAACTCATTACCCTCTCTTCTCTCTTTTACCTTTCCTGGAGACAAAAACCTTAACCTTCTTCTCATTCTTCCTTTACCATCCAAATCAAAATCCTAAATTCTCTATATTCTGTAATAATAACAATCAAAATAATTGTGTTTTTTTTTTTTTTTGGGTTTCTTTCATCCATGTAACTGTTCTCTTTTTATATCTCTAGATCTGCATTATAAAAGAACTCATCAAACCCGATGAGCCGTTTATTCACTGTCGGGCTGATATTATCGTGGTACTCCTCGAACATAGGAGTCTTGTTACTGAACAAGTTCCTGCTAAGCAACTACGAGTTCAGGTACCCTATTTTCCTTACGTTATGCCACATGTTGGCATGTTCCATGTTCAGTTACATGGCCATTGCATGGCTCAAAGTCGCTCCCTTGCAAGGGATAAGATCGCGGTTGCAGCTTATGAAGATATCTGCACTGGGGGTCATCTTTTGTTTATCTGTCGTTGGTGGGAATATATCGCTTAGGTTTCTTCCCGTGTCGTTTAATCAGGCTGTGGGGGCCACCACGCCGTTTTTCACGGCGGTTTTTGCGTACTTGATGACCAGGAAGAGGGAAAGTTGGGTAACATATGCCACTCTCGTTCCTGTTGTCACTGGTGTCATCATCGCCAGTGGGGTAAGACTTCAGAGCTTGATGCTTGGATTTGTTTGTGTATGGTTGTTTTGTCTTTGGTGAAGAAAATTGAAAAAATTCCTTGTATTTATCAATTCAGGTGGTTGTTTTTTTCTCTTCTTTTTGTCAAGGAAAAGGTAATGGTATCATCACTGATGTTGTTTTCTTCCTATAACATGGCTGAAGGGAGAACCATTGTTTCATCTGTTCGGATTTATAATGTGCATTGGCGCCACAGCAGCGCGAGCTTTGAAGTCTGTGCTTCAAGGGATTCTGCTCTCTTCTGAAGGGTAAGGGACAGTTTTCTTCCACTTCTATAACAACAAGAAATTTGGACTGATTCTGAATTAACAAGTACCATCTTGAATTTTACTAGATTTCCTATCATCTTCAAATTCGATCCATGGCTAACGAGGTTTCATTGTTTTTACTAGGGAAAAGCTTAACTCTATGAACCTCCTAATGTACATGGCTCCTGTAGCTGTCATATTCCTTCTTCCTGCAGCTCTTTTCATGGAAGAAGGTGTGGTTGGGATTACAATTGCACTTGCAAGAGATGATTGGAAGTTCTTACTGTATCTGATCTTCAATTCTGCGCTAGCATATTTTGTGAACTTGACTAATTTCTTGGTCACTAAGCATACCAGTCCCTTGACTCTGCAGGTATTTCTGCCTCTGCTAAAACTTTATGCAATCTCTTTTCATCAGATATATTTGCAAAGCCAATGGAAAAGGAAAGATGATTGCAAATAAAAATATTTTTATAAAGAGCTTTTAGCTGTTGGCAAATCGTAATAACAAGATAGAATCCTGTAGGTACATTACTTTACCTGCTATAGGTATGGGGAGGCTTGAGCTTCAATAGCAGCCATAAAGTTGGTTAATGGTGAAAAGTCTTATTCCTACATATAAAATCCCCCACCCTTCTACATTGTAGCATTTCATTCCAAGTAGACAGAATTGAAGCCCCTTAAAATTTTTTAAGTGAGTTAGGTGGTCAGCATGAACATTCTTCTGCGTGTATTCACCTGGCTTTCCCAGTCACGAGTTCCCTATATAAGAAGTTTCAGGCACTATATATGGAATTGTGTTGAGCCTGACGTATATATCCAGCATTCAAATCTGGGGTTTACTCACTTGCCATTGATCTTTCAATTTCATAATGGAAATCTCTTAAGTTGCACTTATATAATTGAAGCTAGCAATCCTCAAGACATTTCTGTTCTCCTTAAAAGAAATAAGGCCTATTTGGCCAGTGCCTTGAGCATAATGTCTATGCTTCAAAGATTAAGTATGCTTGTTCTTACAGGTCTTGGGGAATGCAAAAGGAGCTGTAGCTGTGGTTATCTCTATTCTGATATTTAGAAATCCTGTATCAGTAACTGGGATGTTCGGATACTCTCTCACAGTAGTTGGGGTTATTCTCTACAATGAAGCCAAGAAACGCAGTGTGTAAGGCTATAAGTATGGAATACAGGCACAATTCCAGCAATATTATGTCTATAGTGTGGGAGGGGGCAGTTGAAACAAGTCAATTCAGGTGGTTCCACAAGTTGTCCCTCCTTTGCAGAAGACCAAGAAGAGGAAGACTATGCAGTATAGCAAGTAGAACCTCAAATGAAGGATGGATTTTTGTTTTTCATCAGCTCGTAGGTGCTGAGCAAATGTCTTCTCTTGCTTTATGGAGAGTTGGCCGAAATTTTTTACTAGAACTAATTTTATTGTAATCTTTTGTATTTGAAGATGACGGTGATATCTTATTATTGTTGTAAAAGTATCGAAATTTCAGTTGCAGAACAAAGTTTTCACTCCTTTTTTCAAGGTTTTCAAGTGATCTCAACCCCCATTTCATCCTAAATATTTATACAACTTTATGAAATAATCTTGAAAAACACTCTTTATAAAAGTTTGAAAGAAACTTATGAGATTTATAAATGTCATGATTTACAACTTATGATTTATGTAAAAACTGTTTCACTTAATTTGTTCCCTTCTCATATCTATTCATATAGTCTTTGTAACTCACACATTAATTTTTTTTTTTTACAGATCAATGAGGAACTTATTATCCTTGTCATGAAGAAAAGCCTCATTTTTTCTTGGTAGGTGTTTTAGCAATCCACTTGATGCCCAGAAGGTCAAGTCATGTTTTATTGATAAGTCGGTTTTATTTTATTATTATATGTTATTGAATGTTTTTTTATAAGTATGTCGTCGCAAGTGACACTATGATTTACATGTTTTTAAAAAATTTGATAGTTAAATGTTTACAATGAAAATTTTGCATGGGTTATGAAAATTATTTTTGAATTAAAAGTTTATTAGCGCTTTTATACGCCGTGAGGTAGCATTTCATCACGTTGTGATGGTTCCAAGTGGGGCATTCATTAACATTTCCACCCATGATGATGTAGAATTCCACCAGGCTTGTGATGATGCACCAGATTGCATGTTGATATATAAATGATAATGCGTATGCTTGATTTGTATGGAGAGTGTAGTGCATAATTGATAAGTAAAAGGCTTGCTTAGGTTTAATGGGACATACTTACAAAGGTACGTGTGCCAGTCATATCCCAAGAAGTGTGTGATAAGCTTCCAAACCAACCTTAGTTGAACAAGAAATTAGAATACATGAAAAACCTACCTAATAACGGAGTAGAATATAAAAGTTAATCACTTGGGAAATGACCATGATAGGATTGGTGCTAAGTTTTTACTCTGAAATTATCAAGTATGATGTAATTGACACAACATGTGTGAAACATTTTATGAGGTGATATTAGAAGTTATTTGCAATAATCAAATAACACCTAGGCTGGTCGGGAAAATGATCTTTAGGTTATGTCGTTGGATTAAATAATCAAAAGATTTAAGTTATCTAAGGATCCTATTGACAACTGTCATACAACATTTGGTTCTAAACCTCCTCACCAAAACCCTAGTGCCCTCATTTTCTTCCTATCAAACTCTAGGCTCAACAATGGAGTTACAACACCAGATTTGAAGATCACAAGCACTGTGCTGCATCATGTAATTCTTGCTACAACTGTTGAAAGTACAGTCCTTATCATAATTAAATGCCTACTCATCTTCCTACAAAAATTATGATGTTCTTTTGGGTATAGAATATGAATACGCAATATGCATGCAATAACTGAAAATAAACATAACCGCATAGGTTTGTTTGATCCAAATGACAGGTGCCCTCCTAATTCACCTCACTTATCAGAAGCTAAGACGTGAGTTTTTTCCTTCATTTCCTATGCCATCCCTAATGAATCCAAGTATATGACTAATCAGCACCAAATATGCCACAAGGGCAGGAAAACATTGCTGAACTAAAAGGAACATAAGAACCTTTTTTCCCTGGTAATAGAGAAGCTTGTAGCTGTGATTATCTCTATTCTGATATTCCGAAATCCCCTCAGTAACTGGGATGCTCGGATACTCTCCACAGTAGTTGGGGGTTATTCTATACAATGAAGCCAAGAAACGCAGCGTGTAAGGCTATAAGTAGGGATATAGGCACAATTTCAGCAATATTTTGTCTTAGTGCGGGAAGGGGCATTTGAAACAAGTCAATTCCGGTGGTTCCACAACTCCTGTTGCAGAGATGGAGAGGAGGAGATTATGCAGCATAGCAACTAGAACCTCAAATAAAGGAAGACTGTAGTCTTGCTTCGTCAACTTGAGCGAAGGTCTTCCCTTGTTTTACGGGGAGTCGACAGCAATTTTACTAGATTTAATTTTACTAATTTAATTTATTGTAATCTTTTTATAATTGGAGATGACAGTGATCGCTTTATTATCATTTACCTCAATGTTCCTGCAGAATGTGTAGTAATGCTGCTTTTGTCCAAACTAAACTGAACCCATACAGTACCTGAATACTTAAGTTGATTTTAGCTTTGTAGTACCTTTCTGCAATTAGGGTGTTCAAGCATTCTCAACTTCTTGTGCCTTGCGAATCTTCAACAGTTTTAATGAGAATCTATTAAGTTGCAGTAGGAATGAACACAAATAAGAAAAGAAATGCATCATCATTTGTAACAGAACATCAGAAAAATCCAAGCACATGAAAGAAATTTATCATCCATCCGACCTAAACTTTTTATCGCTTGGCTACAATGTGAGCCTCAAGTAGAACCCTCGAGGCAACATTGACAACAATATCAAACACATACTACTGAACAAGGAAACAAGACCCCATGCCAAAATCAAGTTAGACTTGTGGCTTAGTCTCATCCTCATCTTCTTCAATCTTGGTGCCAAGTAGAACCTGATATAACCATCTCAGCTATCTTGTACTCAACCACAACAGGCAGTTCTGAAGACAAGCTGATTGTCACTGTATTTGACAACGGAGTGGCCTTTGTAAATGAGTTCATGTACCTCAATGCAAATGTCAATGACACTGGATCGTTCATCTCTATAATTGTTGCTTCTTCGGCTGCAAGTGTTTATCCAGAAAGCAATAGAACCATCAAATTAGTCACCTTATATAACTAGGAAACAGGGCATAACATTCTATAAATGACCATGTTTAAACAAATTACAGCACTTGCAGAAAAAAAAAGCAAAAATATGGCAGGCCCAAAGAACATACTTTATTACAGTGGTATTTTGCTGAGAACAATATTTGCAGTTCCAATATCACCTCTTGTGGAAAACTTCACACCTTCCTTCGTAACAGAGATAACAACTGCAATCACATCAAACTAGAGTTAACCTTTGCACAAGTACATGTAAATGAGCTCAACTAAAAAGATGAAAGAAAGCCTAACAATCTATAATCTATAAAATCTATAAAGCAAAACATTCTCAGTACCAGTATCACCAATGCTAGCAAGATCTTTACAAATCCTTGCAAACTCAGCTGAAGGCATCCTAACATAGCATGGTACTCTGCCTCTGGAATTCCAAAGTGCTCACTATCAATATCCATCAGCTTCATCTCAAAATCTGATATCTTGTCTTGTGCTTTAATCCATTAGCACAGCCATAAAAGAACACACACAAAAACAAATGTCAGTTCAGCCTCATATTAGCAACAAAATTAGCAAGTCTAGCCAAAAAACACTGGAAGAGTCTAATCCCATTTCAATTGAATCAACACAAAAAATCTTCATCTTGACTAAGAGTTAGAACAAACCATTACTAAAACATCAAAATTTTTTACATTTCCAAGGCTTGGTTTCTTTTGTTCACCTCCCCGCCACCAAACAAATCACCACAGTTTTATAGGATAAACAATCATTTCATAGTTGTTTACAGCTTTCTTTAGCTTTCCTACATTTCCCAGCAACCAAACAGAAGACAATTTTCCAAAATAAACATTCAATAGATACAATCCCAAAACAAAATTCCACTAAATCCCATATTCCCAAAACCCTAACTACCCCACGACCCTACTGAAAACAAAATTACCAAAATATTACAGCACTGAAAACGTACTGGGGCTCTCGAACATGAAAGTAACTGTATCACTGCCGTCGTCAGCCTTGATTGTGATGATGTCATCATTACCGGCACACTTCAGCATCTTGGACATGTTATTGAGATTCATTCCCATGGAAATGTTCCTATCGCAGCGATAGTGCTCGAACCCTTCCGATCTCAGCAACAGAGCCACCAGGGCCACGTGGCTCGAATCCATGGCCTGCAACGAGAACCCCGTAGCCGAACAGTCGAAGTTCGCATCGGTGACCAAGTCCTTAATCGCTTCCAAGACTTTCTTTAGAAGCGAACCTTGAACAAGCCTCAGCTCAAGCATTTTCGGGTTTCTTTTGCTTTTCTTCGGAGAAAGAGGCGAAGTTTAGGATTAGGGCTAAGAGAGAAAGCAAGCGAGGGAGTTGAGGGGTTTATATCAAAGGGAAAGTGACTTTGAATCGTTGGGGGTTCAATTGGCGGGATTGGGAGGCGTTTGGTTCCCGCCAATGAGTTTAGCATAGCGGGAAGGTTATCGTCTTGCAACTTCTGAATTCGGAAGTTGGGTCAGGTGACCCATTCAGGCCCAAAAAAGCCCACCCAAGAGGAACATCCAGTGGTGGAACAACATTGAAGACGTTAAATCCCGCCCATATGGGTTCAGTATCCACCCATGTCCAAAACTGGATCCAACCTATTGAGGTTGAATCCAGATACTTTCCAAGTGGATTCATCCGGCTCACGTATTAGCTAGGCCTCCACCAGCTTGAAGGTAATTGCTTGATTTAATTTATTTAAATATAAAATGCAGTTGAGTAAAAATTTAGATTGTTTGGTTAGACTTGATAATTTTGGATATGACATAAAAAGATACAAAATTAAATAAATATGAAATTAATCTTATCGCATTTCATTTTTTAATCGTGTTGATATAATTAACACATATAATTAATCGTGTTAATTGTATTATGGTGTTTAAATGTATATAAAGTGACACGTTTAATGTTAATGATAAATTTTATTAGTATGATAATAAATTTTATATATGTTATTTATGTTATATTTGATGTTATTATTATGTTATTATAATAATTTTTATAATTATTGATTTTAAATTTAAATAATAAAATTATATTTAATTATAAATATTTTAAGTTAATTGTATTAATTGTGTTAGAAAAGTTATATTAATCGTTTAATTGTGTTTATTAATTGTGTCATGTAGTATAAACAAACTAACATGTTCAATAAAACATATTAATCATGTAATCGTACTACACAGTTATTAAACATATTCATATATGTGTTTCAAATATTGATAAAAATAATTATTTATATCGTATTCATATTTAATTTTATCGTGTTCTGTATTTTAATTACAATTAAGCATATTCTTTGCAAACTCTTGTTTCCACGAAATTAGTATTAGAAGGGAAACCCCATATTCAAAAAGCTGCAGGATATCATAATACTGCCCATGAATGTCACCACACAATGCTTATAAAATACAAAATTTCAAGTTAAACCAGCCATCAACAAAGTTCCCCTCAGGGCCCTCATCGTAGCAGATGAATTGCCATTGCTAGCATGCAAAGTACTATAGCATATACAGTCGTCAATTCCAACATCCCAAAAATCTCTGAGATTTATACAAGCCGTAACAATTCAGTGCCATCATTCCCCTAATCCCTTCATCGCCTGTCCCTAGAGCTAACATGTTGTACATCACCTGTTTCAAAACAGCAACAAAAAATAAACTCCACCAGAATCTATTTATGCACATCAGTGGAAACCAGATCGGAGAAAATCTTTCAAAGAATATAAGGATCTGATGGAAAACTGAGCTGAGCTTATATAGTTATTACTTGCATAAGAAATTTTATAACACAAAAGTCGCACAAAGCTCAAGACCTTATCGAGTATCTATATGAGGGAGAGTTATGTTCTTTAATTAACATTTTGTTGACAAAGGCAGTGGCCCGATGGCACTTCCCCACGAGAGGAAACCTAGTTAAGTTCTTTAATTAAGGAAGGAGCTACAGAGCGAAGCACCCAATTGCTTTCCAACTAAAGGAAGATCGATCACGGGATGACAATATTTGTTCAGGATACGAAAATCCACAAAATCCGTCTCCAAATAGTCGTATTTCAAAAAACTTCTTTCGTTCAAAGTTGAATCACAGGCATTGGTATCATCCACAACTGGTTTGCCTGAGAAGCTGCAATGTCCTTGATCCACTCAAATTCACATGTTGCCACAATAACATCTGCCTTATCTAAGTCCAGATCCTCAATAATATTAACAAGACACATCCGCTGACCATTCAGCTTTGCAAAACAACAGCATGCATAATCCTCAGATGCAATCTATCCAAGCTTTTGCATTTTGGTCACCATTTTAAAAAACTCCCATATCTTTTTAACCAGCTAGGCCGATAAAAAACATTTTTAAAAGAAAATACACACATCTTCATCACAAAAACTAAAGCTTACACAGGACTTATCCGCAAAGCGAAGAGCTGAGTCACCAAACGTTATATTCCTGTACCAAAAGTTGTCATCAATGTTGTAACGTAAAGCATCAAAAGCTGGACTTTACAGAAAGATTTCCTTACAAGAAGGGAGTGTGAGGTAGGAGAACTTAGTAATTCCAGGCTTGGGTGCAAGACTACCCGAAATAAAAAATGGATCAGACAGTGCTGTCCATTTATTCAGCTTTGGATCGAAAGCTTCAAAGGTTTTTGTGCATTTATTTATCGCCCTAGAAGTATCCTAAACATATAGCTTGCCGTCTATTTCCGCCGCGAAAGGTTCAGCTTTTCTAGATAACATCCGAGTATATGGAACAAAGGGAGGCGTGAGGAGGCGTCCTGGGTATCAAGCGCGAGAACCCATCGTTCAGATCATCAAAGCTGTATCTTTGGAACGATGCATCTCCGCCTTGGGTACCCTTCATTCCACCCAAAAGAAGGTTTTTCGATCCCAACGCAGCGCAGCCTATGTGAGCACACGTTTTGTCGCCCTCTACTAAGGCTAGCTTCTCCACAGGGGGAGCCTCCTTCATTTGCGAAGATAATAACGCCGTCGTTTCCACTGCGAACGTGAAGAACGCCTCGCCTTCATCACCCAGTGCGTCAAAACACATGTACAACTTCGGCTTCGGCTCATCTTCGGCCCATGCAGATGAGGATAACGCCACTGTCAATTCCAGGGCATCTTCTTTTCTTGAATAAATCCTAGTTCGTCAGCGTACGCGTGAGTAATTGCCAATGCTTTAATGCGTGAGTACGCGTGGGTCCGGTCATGTGGGTCTCAGTACCAAATACTAAAACAACCGGACTCTTGGACCCTATATGGGTTTTTCTTGGGCTTTAAACTCCTTTTTGGGCTTTTAAACACAAATGTGGAATGTGTTAAAGAACTTTTAGATTTACCGAAAAGCATACAAATCCACCGTGATGATGATAGATAAAAATGTCAAGGTTAAAATTTGGCTACTTGCGTTTTAAGTAATTAATTTCACAAAGCTACAAAATAGATATTTAGAAAACCAAATTTAGCTATTTTTGGTGCATATAAAAAAGTTTATCCAAGCTTTGTCTTTGCATAAAGAGAAAAATAAATTGATCCCACATCACAAATGTCACTTATAATGCTTAATTTTGAATTATATTTGGCTAACGTCCAACATCAAATCCTAAAATATTTTAAACTCTAAGAATTGAAGTCAAGGTTTTGGCATGTTGAAGGCTAATGTCATATCATTTGTAATTTTTTGTTACTTTTTTGTAATTATAGTTATATTATTGATACGGAATAAGTGACCAAGGGAGGGGGCTAGTAAACCACCCCGCCCCCCCCAAAAGCTTCAAAAGTATATAATTTTCCTATGTTTTCTTTTATAATTTTATAATTTTATTCTTAATTTTTTAAAAAATTTATAATTTCATCTTCTTAACTATTGAATTTTTTATTTTCATTTTTTGAAATTTTAATTCCACCACTGAGTGGTATGATTACACTAATAAAACTTTATTCATATAATAAGTAAAAAGTCTTAAAATTTTATTCATATAATAAAACTTTAAACTCAAGTCCCATCCTACGTAGCATTGATTTAATTTAATTTTATTTTTGTTTGATTTTTTTTATTAATTTATTTTATAAATATATAATTTGAAATGTATTGATAGTTTGATTAATGATGGGTAATTAACCGTTAATCATAAAAATTTATTTGATATAAAATAAAAATATAAAAAATTAATTAAATATAGTAAAAATAAAATTTTATTTATATTTTTCTAAATATTTGAAGAATTTTTTGAAATATTAGGTTTAAATTTATTTTATAAAATTTAAAAAATGGGAATATAAAATTTTTCTTCGAGTGGACTTTTAGGAGATAATAGCATATGAAATAACCACAAGTGTCTTCTTTTCGGGCACGCAACCAAATTAAACAATAAATTAACGGATTAACTAACAATCAAACCCATCTGTTAAAAAAATATAAAAATAGAAATAAGGAAAAAAACAATGATGAGATATTGAAGACAGAGACAAGCTCAACAACCGTATACATGTGAAACAAAACGAGGATGTTAATGGCAGCAGTAAATTAATGAGAAAACAAGAAAGAAGATGAGAGGGAGTGAAAAACCCAGTTGCACAACCTTAAATGGGTGCCAATGAAGGCGTTTTTTAATTATTCTGTTTCGCCCTTTTATCAAACAAATCCTGTATCTTTCTTTCCTTTTCCGTTCCTTTCATTGTTTCACTGTCACTCAACCAATTCATTTCCTTTTATTCGCCCCCAAATCTCTGCTACCCATTTCTCATTTTCAGTTCCCGATGGCAGATCTCAAGTTCTCTTTCGCTGAAACTTTTCTTTGCAGTGCTTTTGCAGCTTGTTTTGCTGAGGTATTCACGATCTATGGATATGAATTTACATGTGCTCTTTTTTCTTCTTTTGGTTGGTAATTGTGATTATTTTCTTCAGCTGGACTTTTTCATGTTTCTATCTTAAGCACATTGCTTAATTCTATGCTTGCTGTTGTAGTTGTTTAATTTGCTGATGATGAGTCAGTTTATTTTGTCGTTGGCATTAGCTCCTAGTTTTCTGGGTCTTTGATATTGTTTCAGTTCATATACAATGTTAAGAATTTTGAATGAATGTTAAAATTTTGGATCCAAATAAATCATCGAGCTCAGTTAGGATTAGAAGAAGGTCATGTGGTACTAGCTCGGCAAGATTTTAGATGTTTGGCCATTTTTGTAAGAAATGTATGTTAAAATGCTACTAATTCAATTATATTCTGTATATGGTTGAAGATACTCTCGGTGGGAATTCTTCTACTGACTTGTCCATGGATATATGCCAAATTCAGCTTTCTTACTACCCTGGTTTATATGACAATCATTGGTTAATCAAGATCACAGGAAACATTGCTTGATATGAGAACTTATATATGGAATGTTGTGGAATACTTGTTTCTATATGATTGTGCACAGTAGCATCATGAAATGCTTCCAGAACATATTGAACTATTCTTGTTCAATGTGCTTCACATTGTTTCCTCAGCAGGTCAGAGACTTGCTTTTATTTCCTCTTCTGCTTAACACTCTTCCTTCATTTAAACATCACGCTCATGGTTTTGCAGTTCTGTACCATCCCTTTGGACACTGCCAAAGTCAGGCTCCAGCTCCAAAAGAAAGCAGTTGGTGATGAAGTTAATTTACCTAAATATAATGGTTTGTTGGGTACTATGGCTACTATTGCTAAGGAAGAAGGTTTATCGGCACTCTGGAAAGGAATAATTGCTGGCTTACATCGCCAATGCATTTATGGAGGTTTAAGGATTGGGTTATATGAACCTGTAAGCCTATGATATGGGTCAAATTAGCATGTTTTGTGCTTCTCTTTTGGTAATAGATTGACATAAATGTGTTATGGACAGGTCAAAACATTTTTAGTTGGCAGTGATTATGTTGGAGATATTCCTTTGTACCAAAAAATTCTTGCAGCGCTATTGACCGGTGAGTTAATGGCAACTACTCTGCTGAACTAAACTGTGTACATCTTCATTTTTAGTTTGTAGCTCATTTTGTCAGTTTATTGGTGGTGCACTTTTGATCAATGTTTGCCTTTTGATTTCTTAGAAGGATGCTTTTCACAATAAACTCATATAAAAGCCATTCGCATCAAACAGGTGCTCTAGCTATTGCGGTTGCTAATCCTACCGACCTTGTCAAAGTTCGGTTGCAAGCTGAAGGAAAATTTCCAGTTGGGGTCGTTAGGCGTTATTATGGGACTTTGGATGCGTACTACACCATAGTTAGACAAGTCAGTTTTCTTAGAATAATACTATCCATTTTTTCTTGATAAAATTAATTTACTTATCATGTAAAATTTTCAATAATCAGGAAGGACTAGGGGCACTGTGGACTGGGCTTGGTCCCAACATTGCACGAAATGCCATTGTAAATGCTGCTGAGCTAGCCAGTTATGATCAAGTGAAACAGGTGAATTTACAATTTTAAATCAACTAAGTTGAAGTCACTTTTTTTGATAAATTTGGTATCATGCTTGGCTAGTAGGTTTGTTCTAATGATTTCTAACTTCTAAAATCTTTATATTCATGCAGACAGTTTTGAAAATTCCAGGGTTCTCAGACAATGTCCTAACTCATCTTCTAGCAGGTCTTGGAGCTGGTTTCTTTGCAGTCTGTATTGGTTCTCCCATTGATGTGGTAGGTATTTGATCTTGACTGCATTATCTGCTATGCTTGTGAAGATTTATAAGATTGGTAACTTTTGATTTTTTGTTTTCTTTATCATAACTTTTGTCCTATAGCTTGAAGCTTTCACTTTAGTGAATTGTTCAGACCTAGAATTAATATCTGTTGCTTATCTTTGTGCTGTAGTTGTTAAATTTGATTATAATCGTGCTTTTAGATTCTGCTTCAATACTTAGCTTCTGTTAAACCAGCATATTTTTGAAAATCTAGTGATTTTGGTTTGTGGAACCGTTTTGATTGGTGCAACAAGTTTTAGACTGAAAAACTTGTGTCAAACCTCTATTTAGAGATAAGCACCACTGGATAAGCAGAACCACTGTGCCATTATGTGCTAAAGTGCAAAATGCTTTGGATTGGCATTTTGAAAGAAGATGATGTGCTATGGTCATGATTGATACAGTTTAAATTATGACTCTTTGACCATGTTGATACTTCAGTTTTAGTCTAATTTGTCTTCCAAGCATCAGAGGCAATAAGGCTATATTTGTTCGAGATTGTGGAGCTCTGTATCATATAAACCGATTTTATAAAACTTATGTTGGGTGAATGGATCTGCTTGTTATGTTCCAGGTGAAATCTAGAATGATGGGAGACTCTGGCTACAAAAACACTCTTGATTGTTTTATTAAGACTTTGAAGAATGAGGTATGTTGATTTTCTGGTTGTTTGTCTTGCATCTCCTCTAGATTTCTCTAGAATCTATTTATGTCCTTTTGACTACACTCTATGTTCTTGGTACTACTGTAGGGTCAAAATTTGTGCCAGAATTAAAGATTTTTTGCATGCTTTTGGGCTGGAAAATTTTACTTTCATCACTGTTACTATCCCTCTGTGTAGTTAACTTCAAGCTTCAGAAAATAGTTGGCTTTCGTGCTTCATTAATATTTATCTTAAATCCTCAAAGATAAAATTTTTGGCTGTTAGTCTTGATAGAAACTGACTTTTGACTATAAAAGCATTATTATGATGAGTAGTAATGTTTTGATAGTTGATGCATCACAGGGATTCCTTGCCTTTTATAAGGGGTTTCTTCCAAATTTCAGTCGGTTGGGATCTTGGAATGTGGTTATGTTTTTGACTCTTGAGCAGGTCAGATCTGCATTTGATTTGATCTTTTGCCATTTCTTTGGCCACATTATTCTTTTTTGACATATGAATGCTTGTGTATTCCATTCTCCTGTTTCTATTTTGCATTAGGATTTCCAGGTTCATCTCCGCACTTAGTCTAAACACACCACGATGCAACATCTGGATTTTGAAAACTGCCATGTTTGTTTAGCTCAACCTAGTGCCGTGTGATGCCTGAACTATTAGACATGCTAGGCACCTTTGTGAATTTTACTGAAATTAGAACTTAATGATCAAGATGACCCTTTGCCAAACTGTATTCAGTATAGATTTGATTTATATATCCATTTTAATGTTTTTTATTTTGGCAAAAGGATGGTTACTTAGATGCAGAGACTTTTACTATTCAAAGCTTTGAATTTTCTTAGCCTACTTTGTAATAATCTTAAGAAAGCCTTTATATTTGCTACCAACAGTGATATGCTAACCTTCTTTGTTATGTCAATGACAGGCCAAGAAAGCTTTCCGGGGGGAATTATATTATGACTGATTTTAGTTTGCAACTAGGAAGACACAGCTTTTGCTTGCTTGTCACTTCAATTCTTGAGAAGTATATTTTTTGAACGGAGAGTAAGGTAGGCATTGCATTGCCAAATTTTTTTGTAACTTTTCATTTATCTTATATAAAATAGTGTCATTGTAACTATCAGTGCACGTTTAAGTTACTAGTTAAATATCTTTTAGAGGGTATTATTACTATGCCTTTTTGTGGAAGTACAAGCTGTCTGTCTGCCTCCTCCCAACCAAACTGAAATCGGCAAATATCTGCCTCATTGTATTTGGAATCATGTAATACCTGCATTTGTGGGACATTCAACAAATATTGCTTATTCTTGTAGTAAAACGTGAGGATTTAAATTGTATGGACTGATGTGCCCTGCATTGCCTTGTTTGTTAGTGTAAGGAAACTTAGTTGAAGGTGGAAACAGTACTTTGCTTTTGCTCAATCAGTATGCCTCCCTTTGGCAGGTAGCTTATGGTATACTTCCTTTTACATGGGCTAGACCGCCGGTTTTTCTACATGATGATTCGCATTTTTTGAGGTTCTTATCTTCTCTCTTTTTTGGGAACAAGAGCAAGGGGGAAGAGGAGATTCATACCTTTGAGCCTTTTACCTTGTCCCTTTATGGTTAACTTGGTTGTTACTTGTTAGCATGTCAACCATTGTGTGCTTGCATTCTCCACCTTATAGTATTTACCATGTAAAGTTACAAATAGGTAAGAACTCGGCAAGATGTCACAGATACCACATGACATGTTAACCTTCACGCCTTTGCTTCTAGCTCTAAGAACTAAGTATACAACTATGCATCTCTCGGCTCTAGATGCTATATATATAGATAGATGGATGTATATATAAGTGCCTTTTTACCCTGTCATCCCCCCATATCTGCTGACGTTAAAATTGTGTTTTAGACAGGTATACTTTTATGGAAAGTGGAAACTTAAGTGAGCTGATCGAAAATTAACTCTCATCATAATTTTTACAGCTAAATTTTCAGTCCTCTGGAATACACGCTTCCAGAATGGCTAAGATCTGATAAAGCCAACCGGACAAGCAACCCAGGGCTGAAAGATCCGTGGATTTTAAACCTAATTCTCAAAGAGCAAATGACCTAATAATTCTAACATCTGTAGCCTAATGACGGAGGAATTTCCTCTACAGTCCAGTGACAACAACAACAACAAAGCCAAACCCAATTACCCTATCTGCAAATCCTAAAACCTATCCGAGCAAATGCAAGAAGTCTGACCATCACTACTTCAAGTCCTAGCCACTAGGTAGACCCTTGCCTTGACAACAGATCCATTTGCAAGCTTGAACCCAGGGCTAACTGGGAATCCCACGATCTGACCTGTAGGCACCCGCCCACCTGAAATTTTGACAACGCTTTCCATATAGTGCGGATGAAACTCAGCTCCCCTACTTGCCTCGAACTGACTTGGTGATGGGTCAAGTGAGAATGCAAGCAAATGAAGCAACCAGACTGCCTTGGCCAGCCCCAAGAACTCCCCGTAAAACTGACTTCTAGGATGGTTTCCAGCCAGAACCTGGCTGCGCTGTTCCAAGTCTCCAAACAAGGACTCTTCCATCTTGGGATGGACAATGGCAAGGTACTTCTTGGAGCAGAACTTACCAAAATGACATGTAGGCAAGATTCCAAGGAGTTCAACAGGGTCCATTGCCTTCATGTCACGATATTGGGTGAAGCATTCTCGGCGGTACTGATCAGGATTAAGCAACGACGAGAGGCTGCCATCCATGTAGAAAGTCTCGTGGTCAAAGCCTTGAAAAGTTTTACGTGAAACATACGACTCAAGCGCATACTTGGAGTGGTGATTCGCAACGACGGAGGGAGTGATGGTGGTGGTAAAGGAGGCAGTATCAGGAGTGGCGGTGGCAGCTTCTATTGATCGGACAGCGGCGGCAATGTCCCAGCGAGCCTCACGCATAAGGGAAAGGAGGACAGATGTGAAGGACTTCGACGCCTCCTTCACCTGACTCATTGTGGCCTCAAACAGCTCTGGTGCTGGTGCTGGTGCTGCTGCAATTACTGTCACCAGGTACAAATAAGTTAAACTGATATCCCTAACTATGCAATATCACCACAAACAGCATATAACCAAGGCATGCTTTGAATCAAAATTCCCATGGTAGCTTGCCTAAAGAACCAATGATCTCCCATGGTTATTGAACAAGAAAGAACGAACACTTCGTTTGACAATGACTTCCTGATGACGTGGCATGATACCATTGGTCAACAAAAACAATTCAAACTGTGCTCGCATGTTGTCTAAGTCATATAATTACCAACGTAACCCCGAATTTCATCAAATGTATTGTACAAGTATTGAAACAACAAGCTTCTCAACACCGAGTCTAAAAAGGTCATTTTGAAGCAAATTACCTTGACTGCAGCTGACTTTCCTCTTGGAGAGACCCCGCCCTTTCTTTCCACCATTGGAAAGGCAAGTAACAGTATTGAGCTTCCCTTTCAAGTTCTCAATCTCCACCTCCTTCACCTTCACTTCCCTCTTCAACTCCTCCACCGCCGCCTCATACGGCGCCACCACTTCCTTCAGCATAGCTACGTGTCCTTTCCCAACACCACCACCACCACCACGTGTTCTTCTCCTAAACCTTTCCCGCAACACCCCAAGCCTCCTCAACTCCCCCACCACCGCCACGTCAGCCGCCCTCATCCTCTCTGGGTCCCAAGGACAATGCGCGTCTTGTAACCTAACGTAAGCCTTCTTCATTTCGGCGACCGACTCGAAAACCTCCTCCATTAACGCCACCATTTCCTTCGATTTCTCTCCATTGTTCCAAACCCTTGTCATTCTCCTCGACTTTTCCACGTCTTTCCCACCATTTTCTTTCTCTTCATCCTCACTTGAATTACCATACTCGTAATATTCTTCTTCATCCGGGTTCTCCTCGATAACCCCGTAACTCGCGGCGTCAACCTCTCCGGACTCTTGTCGACCGGCGGCGAGCGGGTGCAACAAACAAGAAGCTGCAACTCGCTGTATCAGATCCGAAAAGTTTGATACCTTGGTCGCCATTTCTCCTTTCTTCTTCGCCTTCACCGCTGCTGCGTTTCTGAAGAACCAGAGTGCGATGAACAGTGAATCAGTGAGTTAAAAAGTTGAGTCTTTCCTAACAAAGTTAGAAACTTTTGCAAAAAGGGTAGCACCACTTCAGCTGATAATAGCAAAAACCCAATAACAAGAAATGAAGAAAAAGAAAAGAAAAAGTGTATTTCTTTTTCTCTGACAGGGGCTGACCTGGGAACGTGAGAATTGTCAGATCTTAAAGAGACTCTGGACGATTGATTCGGAGACGGATCTCTGTTAAACGTAACCGAGTACCAAAAGTCAAGGTCTTTGGCTTCAGTTTCCAGGCTATCCCGGTTGCCTTTCTTCTTCCTGGTACAACACCAAATCCATGAATTAATCCATTGCAAAGGCTTGTCACAGTACAGTCGCTTTACACGTGTGACTGATCTAGTCTGTATTTACAAGAATGCCCCCAGCGACACGTGTATGGTGTAGATTTGAGTATGATGTTTCTTTTGCCAAGATAAGGTTGGAGTTAAAAGGAGAAGGGGGGATGGGAATTGGGATTGGCAGTCACGTGGCTGACATAGGTGATGGTGCTTTCTTTGATGCTTGGGGTTCCAGCTAGCTAGGTTGGTTCTTGTACTTTTGCAAACCAAATCTTCCATTATGAGAAATTAGCCCTCGCGAGCACATTTGACTAGTGAATTTGAAGTCATGAAATAGTAGATTTGATGATGTTTTCGTGAATAAAAACATGGGAAGTCAGTTTCCTTGGACAAAGTTTGTTTAAGAAGTTGATGTTTTGGGGCCTTCCTTTGTATCCAAGTCAAGTTGATTAAGACTAAGCAGATAATTATGATTTGCTTCACTTTCAACCTATATGCCATGCAAAAATGGAGAATCTGATCGATCCATATGACTGATATGGGCTGCCACGTTTCAAAGCTTGCCTAATAGCCTTGGGTGCAGGATCTAAGGATTATCGATCCATCTTTTTAAAGTTGTTGCATCTTCTAAGTGGAAGTGTCCAAAATCTACGAAAAAGGCGGGCAGCTCAAAGTAAAGGACCAAAAACATATATACCAGCTATGGGGCTAAGGGTATATTTGCCTAGCTACATTCCAAAACGGAACATGTTGAAAGCGGTTGCAAAAAATTAATGTCACCACTTTGGTATTAATGCATGCAATCATGATCTGAAAGTTTTCAAATAAATTTAAAAGGCAGATTTTCCATGAGATGAAAGATCCATCTTATAGTCAAGGTGAGTCATTTTCCAATTGATAAATTTCCTTGTCGGATGCACTTACCCTTTGGAAATGAAGCCCACAAGAAAGAAAATAATCAAATTTTCCTTCAGAGTAAGGATTTTCTGTTTCTTACCTGCTCTTTACGAGCTTAGAGCGAAGTCCCCGCGAAAGCCTTGGCAGCCTTATATATATATATATATATATATGATCCATCATGCTATTAAAGTATCTTTATTGTTTGTTTTGGTCTACCAGAAGCATTATATATCAATCCTCCTCGATGTTCTCCTCATGAATTTATTATGCTTAATCTGACATTGTCAAAGGACTTGAAATTCAAATGTGTGGAGAAAAATGAAGCATGAAGCTCAAGTTTTCTTTTCACAATAAGTTACGGTCATTGTTGATTTCTTGTAAGTTTCTTGCACCTTTCAGTTTTCACAAAAAGGGAACATTTTTGAAAGACAAAATGACTCAAGGGATTGCTATAGAAGGAAAATGTAGATGAAATTAGAAACTTATTTTGACACCAATATATAAACTTTGAAACATGAATGAGAAGGTAAAGCATATATCAAAGTAAGGTACAAGGGTTAAGGGGATAACTAAAATTAATTACCTTGAGAAGTTGGGACGGATGGAACAAAGCAAGCTGCTGGGAAGCATTGTCTCTCCACCCAAGGAGACACACAAGGCAAGGCAATCAAACAGAAATGGAAGATCAGAAAGTTGAAAAGGAAGGAGGAGGGAGGGAGGGGCAGATTTCGACTTCGATGCGTTATCTTCTTCAGAAGCTTTGGGTATTTAAAGACTGTTCAAAAGCTAGTAGCTATATTATTACGTAATGGAGCTAACTAAGGAAACAAGACAAAAGGAAAGATGTTGGATTTCATATGATTCCAAATATCTATCATGTCTCAAGTTTTAAATTTATTTGGTCTCTAGTCTAAATCAAAGTTCACTGAATTCGGAACATTACCTAGTTGGTGTCTAGGAGACCCCATATATATAATATATATGTTTTAGACTAGGAATATATATCCAACATTTTCAATTAAAACACATTTCATCAAAACCAGAATTCGACATTTTTCCAGGCATACCATATGGATATGCATGCAATGCAACGTGATTACTTAATATTCATGCATTCGCTAGCTGGCTAAAGCCTACAGCTAAAAGCTCCCTTGTCCCTTCTCTTTGGGGGGATGATGATTTACCCAAGATATTTTTTTAATTATAAACGGGGTTTTGATATTTCTCTCCTTTTTTCTTGTAGAGAGAAAGAGAAAGTGTGTGCCTGCATATGCCTGGCCTGCCCTGTCCCAGGTTTTCTTTCTTCTAATTTCCTGATAATTCTTTGAAAGCAAATATTATATCATCTCTCTGTAGTCTTCAATAAAATTTGAAGGCTACCCTTTAAGGATAATGCATGGAAAGCATTACTCTAATATCTTTCCCATTAAGTAAAGGTGACCCAATAATTGATACTACTATGTATCTTGTACAAGCATCCAAATCGTTAATCCAAAAGAACCTACTCGATCGATCTTTACTGGTGATTGGTTTCTTTGCGTTAGGGAGTGTGTGTGTGTGTGTGTGTGTGTATATATTTCTATGTAGGCAGATTTTGGTGGAACCAAGTGTTCGGAAGTGAATGGTTAATGACCAGCCTGATATTTTGTTAGACAAACTTCATTTTTTAGTGTTTGGCTGAGGCATTTGGAGTGAAGCGGCCTTGTCCATTAGTATATATATAGTTAGCTACGAGTTGGTAGAATTTTCCTTGAGTGGGACTTTGGGAGGCAGCGTTTATTCAAAGGTAATTTAGGTTAGTATAAATTACTCATTTGGTAATTTAATTTTTTTTGGAGAGTTTTTTTTTTATAATTTAACTCTAAAAAAATCACTTTTAGACCACAAACGTTGATAAAAGTTAATGTTAATTTGATCCTTAGGCTTTAAAAGTTGACAATTATTTGACTTGATTTTCAATTAGTCGACCTTAATCATGTAACATGTTGAAAAACAATGACACATGGCAGATGTATGATCTAGTAGTAGATGAGTTTATATATATATATGGATATCTCATGTGATCGAACATATTAAAACATTAATTTTTATAGATATTAACACCAAAATATAATATTTTAAAATTAAGTATCAAAATAGAAACTTTTGAAAAGTTAAAGTGACTAAGTGCGTAATTTACCATTTAAACTATTTCTTACTTAAATTCAATGTTATATGACCAAAAGATTAGATTTTCTTGAGTTCAACTCTTATCTATTCTGTTCGATTCATTCCTTTTCAATAAATTTTTAATCATCATTCATAGATATGATTTTTAAAATACATGAGTGAGTCTTACATGTGAATGATGATTAAAAAATATTAAATAAAAAAAATAATAGAAAGGAGTCTCAAATCTTGACGTTGCTATACTACTTTCCTCACTCCATTTTAAACTTGAAATTAACTTTCTAGTTGGAAGTCTTGAATTATAAAATTCTATGTTAGATGTCTTGTTGAATGCACAAATTATATATAAACTAATTATATTATAATTTGGCTTACATTTTAATTATTTGCTCATTTTGGATTAATTACGGTATTGTTTTTTATCTTTTTACTTTTACTTTACAATAATTACTCTTCAAAAAATAAAAAGCAAATAGTCAAAAACCAAACAACAGAAACACCAACTAAGGGTACGCAGTGCCATGATGTTTGATTGAGGAAAATAGAATGTTTCTCAAGGCATGCAGGATGAGTAAAAGCTGCAGTCAGGCTATAACCACGATGGAAAGATAGAAGTCTAGCTATAACAATGGAGTCTAGAGTCTTGAAAGTGAGGGGCAGCAAATGCCACCACCACTTGAATTAAACGTACGTGGTGTATCGTCCGACCCTCGAAACAGGAGTCATTGTCATCGGGGACGAAAGGAGCTCTGATGCTTCCCTTTCATAACAATAACACCGCTGACGATCTTTCTGGCAGCAATATTGAATAATGGTTTGGTCAGAAAACAACAAGCGTCCGATTAAGATATGCACGGTCAGGAGAGGTGAGCAAAAAACTGTGATGCTTTTGTCCTGATAATCAGCCCTCAAGCCCATCAACCAGGAAAACCTAGCTTACGTACATGAGACGCTAGCATGCAAAGTCATTTTCCCCTTGGCTTATCCGGTTGAATTATGGTACCATTAACGTATCTATATGATCGGCCAGAGTGAAAAGCTTGGAACGTGGAATGACCCCAGTTTCAAGTGACATAACCAATGGGAGATCGAAACCTTCAAGTCCATCATGTTTCTTGCTTCTTGTTTTTTGAGCAAGTCTGTGGACGGGCGGAGGTATTGCTTCAAACTGATTCATAATGGATGCCAGGATTATGTTATGGGTCGATCGGGGCATATGGTTTTTTGGTTTTCCTAGTTTGACATGATGTATTCACAACTTCAATGCATGGACTATTGCTCAAAACTCTCACATGCCAAGTTGACCTCAAATGTAGAGTCTTCTTCTCTTTACAATCATCACCGACATGGAAAATGGCAAAATATGCACTTGAAAAGTATTAAAAACATTAAAATAAATAAAATAAAATATCTCCAAATTTTAAAATTTTAATCCAAATTTCAAATAAATTTATTAGTTTTCAAAATAAACACTTTACTTCAAAAAGTATAAACAAATATTATAAAAGAACTGAAATGATTTTCTTATTAATTTAAAAAATTATTATTATATATGTTTTTTAAAAAAGCACCAATCTGATACTCCCCTCCTTTGGGAAGCATCTATGAGTGCTCTTTTTCTTTTTAATTAATAAAAAACTTATATAACAATAATTTTTAAAATTAATAAAAGGTAAAATTATAATTTGAATATTATTACGCCATCAAATTAATGAAAACACTAACGACTGAATCAATTGTCCAAAAAAAAATTTTTTTGGGTAAAGTGTTCATTTCAAAAATTAATAAACTGCATGGAATTTCGATTAAACCTTAAAAATGTGACACTATTTTATTAAAAAAAAACATAAAAGTGCTCAAACTCACAATTAGAAATTTGTTTTTTTAAGGCAAGCATTTTAGTAAGAATTGAGGAGATGGAGAGATAAAATTGTATAACCAAACACACAAGTAAAGAGTTGTTAATTTAAATTATTGACATAATTTTCTCTTGTGGTCAAACTAATGCAAAGGACAAGAGTATAAAAAAAGGAATCGAGATTAATTAATCATACCTATACACTAGTACATGGTATGGTAGTTAAATAATTAAAAGATAAAAATCTACTCTATATATATATATATATATAAAAGAAAAAGAAATTGTTTTGTTTTTAAAGGGCATATGAAACCTGCCATATAAACCAAATGGGACTTCCAGCCCACTGGATCTGATGTTTTCTCTCCCGTCTAAGATTAGTTGAGTCTGTCATGTACTTCTTTGGTCCTGTCTAAGCTTAGTTGTCTCTCATGTACTTCTTTGTTCCTTTGATGAGATTGGGCTTTAACCCTTTCTAGTGGTTCCAGTCTGTAAAAGGGTTTTCATAATTTCATTCCCTAAAGGGTCATACTATTTAGGAAGTGGCCAAATCGAGTAAGTGTCTGTTTATTGTTGTTATGGCTCATTCCTTGGAATCCAATGCTACAATGAACCTATGATACTAAAAGGGAAGGGAAGGCAGCTACTATTTGTGTTAGTATTAGCCGAACACAGGAATCATTAGGATTAATGGCCATAGGTATATTATCAACACTTACGAGGAACTTTCCTCTGGAAAATTGAAGCTTCGGGGTCCATGCTCCATATTCATGCCCTTTTTAGGTTTGGAAAAAGTAATAGCTGCCACCTACTGCGTACCATCAAATTTCAAAACTGGACCAAAGCAATTGGATAAGGTTCTCAAGATTTTTTTCTTGCTTCCAACTCTAGAGGTCGTTGATATTTTGGTCCAAATTTCCGTACAAAACATGAAGGCTATAATAAATATCAAGCAATAATTAAGCAAACAAATATCTTCCATTGCCAACGTAACTCTACTTCTTCAGGAAGAAAGAGCTAAACAGGGTTTGGAAGTAAGAGAGAAAAAAAAAAGATGGAGTGTTGTAGGAGGCCAAACAGGAGTGACGTTCATTTATCAGTGGAAGAGGAGGCCGAATTGGAGGAGAAGACGAGGGAATACTTCGATGAAAAAGCACCTAAACGTCACACTAAGCCTCAGCGAAGCGAATATGCTTCCAAGTACGTCGATGCTCTCGCCGTAGGCGACGACAACGTTTCCGATATCCCGGAATACGTTGAGTTTCAACGTCTGGAAAATGATCCTCAGGTTAGTTTTGCTTTACCTTTTTTTTGGCGGCAGGAAAAGGGTAAAATTCTTAATCTTTTCAATTTTAACTATAATTTCTTACGGTTTATGAAATGCACAATACAACCTAAAAGAATATCTTTTGTTAAATATATAAGTTTAGTTAATCTACCGTTAATAATGTTTTTATTAATTTATTAATATTTTTAAAATAATTTTAAAACTGATCATATTATATAAAAATATGATTTTTTTATTTTAAAATTTTTATTTCTACTAAAGTAAATTCCCTCACGCTCCTTTAGAGAAACGTGGCCCAATCTCACTCCCATTATATAATTTTTCATTTTTAAAATTTTTCTTTCTTATTAAAAAAGGAATTTCTCACGTCACCTTTTACCCAAGGGGAGATCCGACCCGATCCCGATCGAATCTGGTATTGCACGGTCTGTGGCCTAATCTCACTCCCCTTGTATAAGTTGTCATTTTAAAAAAGGTTCTCTCCTATTACAAAAATTCTCTCACGCTCCCCTCTTCCCAGGGGGAGATCTGACCGGATCCAGCCCCGACTGGATTTGGCATTGCACGGTCTGAGGAGATCCAACTGGATCTGGCATTGTGCGATATGAGAAAAAAGGAAAATAGTGAAAAGAGAAAGGCATTGTGCAATCTGAGGAGATTCGACCGGATCTAGTATTGGGTAGTTTGAGAAAAAAAGAAAAGAGTGAAGAGAGAAATTGTCCGACCGGATCTGATAAAATAGGAAAATAGTGAAAAAGAATGAAAGAAATATAAAGAAATTATTTTAAGCATTTATGCATGCGTTTGCCGGGAGTCGAACCCGGGTCTATTGCTTGGAAGGCAATTATCCTAACCGTTGGACTACAAACGCTGATGGAATGAGACGTACCAGATCTTATTACATAACAATTAAAAATCTCAAAATTTGTTTCAATTGGCAGTGGTAGTAGTGAGGATATTATTTGTTTGAAGCGTTTTTAGATAATTTCTCGACAGATCTAAAGCATTTGACTGTGGTAAAATACCCGGAATTAAAATTATCAGTATACGATTTGCATGGTAGGTAGTAATACTTAATTATTGTATCATGGTTCCATCGATTTATGTTATTGTTGGGCGCTAGTTTGCTACTTTCAGTTATTCCTTGGTAATCGTCTGATTTCTTTTTCCCCTCAAAATTTGAAACCAGAAAATAGTTTTCAATGGAAATGAAGTAAAAGAGGAGTTTGCGGAGACTGAGTATTATAAGGGTCTCAATTGCATTGACAAGCAGCACCACACGGTACAATGAGACCTTCCAGAACATTCTTCTTCTTGTTATTCTCTTCAATTATTATTATTATTATTATTATGATCATATTTTGTAAGGAAAATGAATTTTGATTGATAATGGTGGAATTTCCATTGCAGACAGGTACAGGGTTCATCAAGGTGGAGAACGCCAATGGCAGAAGCTTCAGCCTGGAACCATATTTGGAAACCAGCTGCCATGCCTCTTGCAAGGGAAATCCAGCAACTAATGACTGGACCCCGGCTGCTTCGGATGAGGTAAACCAACAAAAGCCTTGGTTCATTTCATTAGCATTAAAGTATGAGGTAAACTAACCTGTTAACACAAATCTCTTTGGTCTCCAGGTTTATATTGCGTCAGACAAGCCTAACAGGAGTGACAATTGAATTAGAAGAACGTGCGGTGTTATTTCATCGTCTTTGTCACTCGTCATGTGTTTCCTATTTGTGTGAAATAATTTCAGAACCAGTTGATATGTAATGCACGGTTAATTTATTTGGTATCTTAACTAGATAATGATCAGTCGCTTTGGATATTGAGCAATCGAAAACATCCTTCCTGATTAAAAAAGTATCCCAGAATTCTTTGACTTTGTGCAGCAAAGTCAACCAAATTTAGCAACGTGAATGGTAAATTTCCAATGTTTTTACTCCAAGTTATGTTTTACCTGATTTTCCTATGCAAGAACGATTAAAACCATACTTGTAAACACATCAAATGTCCAAATGAAACTTGAAAAGTTCTTGCCAAGGAAGGGGAGGATGTTTTTGGCCAAAATCAATTGATTAGGTCTCAAACTGTGCTGTTGATAAAAGTTGCGCTATGTTGGCTTTCCAGAACTGAACAAAGGGAGAAATGGCTAAACATCTTTTCTGATTAAGGATCTATTCAATGTTAACTGTATCACAGAATAATGTACATATCACACTCCTGTAATGTACAAACTAGCAGCAAAGACGATATCACGCTTTATGGCATTGGAAGCAGATTCCATTTTCTTATAAAGTGATGAATTACCCATTATAGCTGCAGCGCTTTTAAATTCACGACAAGTCTCATCCAGCCTGACAATTGTCCGCACTATAAGGCCCTCAGGAACATCCGTGAGCTCACAAATTTCTGCAAATGGAGTTCCCTGCAACAAAGGAAGATATATAAGATGACAAACCAAAACCTAGATCAAGGTCTAATCAGCAGGTTAACATGTGAAACCTTTGCCCATTCGTACACCACTTCAACAAGACCAAACTTGAGATTTTCTTTCGCATACTCCTCAGGCGTTATTTGTAATTTGAACTCTGCTTGAAGCTTACCAAGTCTTATAGCTGTGTCATACAATCTGGAAGAAATAATAATCCAGGTTAGATTATCACATAGATAATGAGTTCTTCAGCACTGTAATCTAAAATTTCTTGCAAGTACACCGGCTGAAGCAAATCAGTTAGCTATTGTGTACTTATGCAAGCATTGAGAAGTTGAAAATCCAAACTTTCTAAGCACCTAATTTCTCACACAGGACATTCAAAATTTGCAATGGTACACAGCGGACCTAGACTAATATTTTGGAATAGGAATCAGAGTGTATTTGATCCAAACCAATGTATTTGTTTTCAAGAGGGCATATCCAAATCGAACCAAAATTTTGTATAAAACCTTGAATCTGAATTTTCATGGTTTGGTTCAGTCACTTAGTTTATCTCTTTTATGTATAAAATATATTTAATTTTGACATGATCTCTTGGATCTAGTCTACCTAATTGGACATTAAAAGAAAACGCTATTTTTAATTTCATATAAAATAAGCATTTAAACTGATAAAACATTTTAATTCCAATTTAATTCGGACTATCTAGATTTTTGAATGTCAAAATTAGAAATTGAACTAAGCTGAATGGTTTTTCCCATAAGCCTAACTGCAAACAATAAAAATCCAAACCAAGAACCAACAATTTGATTTGGTTTTTCTGAACAGCCCTACTTAGAAAGCTGTAAATGCATGCCATTCTACAATTGGTTTAAACCTAAAGATCTATGACTATGATACATCAGAGTTGCAATGAAAAATATTAGGCAAAATAATCTCTGCAAAAGAAATTGATAACATAAAACTTTCCCATGCATAAAGAGAAAAATGGAAGAACAAGAACATAACCTTTTGTTGGCCTTAGAGAGTTTTGATGTAAGAGAAGGTTCAGAAGTGTTCTTCTGCTGAAAGACGAAGGCCGACATTAAAGCCACAGCTTCTTCAGGTTCCAGGTCATCTAGTTGATTCTCAAATAAACATTCTGTGCATATCAATTCCTCCCCTGAGTTCATCTCACAGGCAACACGACCTTTTATTTGAACCACATGGTCTTCATCTATACAACCAATTTCCTTCAGAACATCAATCTGCAAATAAGCTTAATATGTTATAAACGATGCCACATACTGATCAACATCAGAACATCCATCTTATTCAAAGCAGAATAATAGGCTAAGAAATATGAACATGGCATGGCAAGGCCATACCCGGCCCTGAAATTCTGGCATCTGTTGGAGCGCTTCATTAGATAATTCAAACTCAAGAGCATTAACTTCATCTTTATGCTTCTTAATCTCTCTAGCTAACTTAATGTGCTCCTCCAACTTAATACATTCGTGGCATTTGTTCTCTGACATTTTTTGCAGTAGGTGGGTCCACTTGTAGTATTTTTGAACAAGATCCATGTCTTTCAATTTGAGATCTGAAAAAATAATTACCATTAGAGAGGTCTTTTTAGATTGACTCAACTCCAAAACTATGATCACCCAAAGTGCTGATAGAATCACAACACGAAAAGGAGCATGCATCGAGTATGAAAAGCAAAATGACTAAACTAATGTTCGCAATTACATGCTATCTAATATTAAATTGGTTCCCTGATATAATTCACCTAAACGAAGGTGCTGCTTACCATACCAATCTATAAGGCGGTTGAGGGAAAGGTTACACGGGCCTAAAAAGAACCCTCATTGAGGATTATTATCCTAAATTCTGGAGATAATTTTGTCCCCAGACAAGCAGAACAACTTATAAGCAAAAGAGAGAGGGCACAACTGGCAAGGGGGCTTGTGTGTTTATTGTTTCCCCTCAGATATGCTGAAACACTATAATCGTCCTCTGTCATCAAGGCCTGCAAAAGTACTTGTTTATTCCTCCTAATTTTCTGAGAACATGTACAATTGCATACCTCAGAGCTAAATCAGAGTCCATAGGTTGCTGAAAGTCTCATTCTTAGCTTCATTTACAGCTCTAAGAAAGCATTAAAAAAAAGTGATGCAGTTCAACTTTCCCCAAAACATCAACATTTAAATAAAGTAACAGTCATACCTTTACGTGGATCCAAGGCTGGAGGATATTTGTTTCCATTAGATTTCAATTTCAACAGCTGCTGAACTGTGTTAGAGAAAGCAGTATCGCTACCATATTCAAGAATCCCAACTTGGTCAACTTTTATCTTGCTATTGCATATGCATAAGAATTCTGTATTATCAGTTTCTCTGACCTCAAAACTCACTCCTGCAGCAGCACCATGGTGAGGCAGTTTTATGTTGATGATACCTGATCCTTTACGTGGACCAGTAGATAAGCGGTAGTCTTCTTCGAGACCACGTTTAGCTTTTGGTGGCAGCACATAACCTTGTTGGAAGTCAGCACTTCTCTTATCTTGCAAGTTACTGCTGCTTGAGGGAGTTTGAGTCATTAATGGCACATCAGGTTTAAGAACTTGCACAATATATTGTTTGTTGTTGGCAGAAGGTGATTTTACGACAACTCCAAGTAAATGGTCCTGGGCCTGTCAATTAATAAGTGCATATATTAGTATCCGCAATCAAACAATGAAATGAAAAAGCCTACACTTTAAAAGGTTCAACATGAGAAGACACTGAAATAAGCCCTCAAACAAGAGGTAACAGCAAAAGCAACCTAACATATGGCATAGAATGCTATTAGAAGCAGTCAACTATACAGGGAAGAATTGATGCAAAAAGAGACGAGAATGAGAGCAAGTGAGAGGAATAGAGAGAGAACTTGGGTTGAAGATTGGTGGGAGGATCATAGAAGGGTAGGAATACGCCAGGGATTTAGGAAGCAATTCCCAAATGTGAACAGGAATGAAGGGATAACAAATCCAGATCTGGACCGATGGAGGAAAAATGTTTTCTCAGCTTTGATAACATCTGCCCAAGGGTTGAGTGGAGGGAGTTGAAAGGTTTCTTTGACCAATTTGGGATTGTTGTGGA